TCTATGGAGCAGTATCAGACTCATATTCTGACAAGAATTTAGTAGGACTACGTCAGGCTAGAGGAAGGGTGCTCCACCAGGCTAAAGGCATAAATTAATTGCCTTTGTAATATCACTGCAATTTAATGAAAACAACATTTTAAAATCAAGGTATCGTCTTGCAACCAACTATTATGGAAGTTTTTTTGGGGGGCAAAATCATTCAGCCCTACCTCTGCAACAAAAGGAACAACAAAAAACCCACAGAAGTTCTGATTTGTACAAGTAATTTGGTGATATCTCTGAATATTTTGGGTATCACAGAGCAATGCCCGACCCTCCAAAATATATACTGTACAGTATGTATTTTGTATATACTATACAGTATATACTATACAGTATATACAAAATATATACTGTGGAGCCACTGACAATATTGGAAAAAAAAAATTGAGGGAGGTTTTTATTTTGTCTGCTTAGTAAAATTGGACGTCTCAGTATCAGGTTTTTCTCTGCAGATCAATTGTAACGATCATCTGTAAAGATGAGATTTTTTTAAAAACTGATAATTATTAACTGGTTGAGAAAAAGCACGTGTTTCAATATCTGTGAACCTCATCCTCTACTTTAATATGTGTGGGGAGAAAAAAAAAGAAGAGACAGTTTCTCTTTAAACTAGTGTGGAGCTAAATGTCTGACGTCTAATCTGTTCTGTTCTGTGATCAGCAGCTTCGACCTTCAGCAGAGAACATGGAGAAACAACAGCCATGATAAGGCTGCAACATACAGCCCCAGCAGACAGAGAAAATATGGCAGTTGGCTTTAGAGAGAGTTTATTATTAAAACGCCTCCCTGACGAACTCCACAGGAGAAGTGGACCCCACATAATTCAAGCTCAGACCTAAACAGGCCCCAACATCCCCACATTAAGACAGTTGCTGGTAAATAACTTGACCCATAAATTAAAGAGTTAATCAGCCGCTAAGTCATATCAACTGGCTTTATTGTATATTGGATTCAAGTCATTGAAAATACTTTTTTATCAAGACTTCATTTCGAACCCTAATCCTGATGTAGTTTTTAACAGAAACATGGTTACATGAAATTAATCAGACACCCGTTCTTATAAATTTGACCCCTCCAAGCTATATGTTTCCTTGTTAGAGCAGACAGCACAGAAAATGTGGTTGTTTAAAGATTCACTAAAGGGTGAAAAGGTTTTTCAGAGCAAATTTGTTTCTTTTGAATGTTTTGCTCTCCGGGAAAAGAGCCCATCCCCAGCCATGTTCTTGAAAGTTTACAGGCCTCCTAAGCCCAAAACCAAACCAAACCAAACCAAATATTTTTCTACATGATTTTAATGACCTTTCATCTGCAATACATGTTGATTATGACCATTTAAAAGACAGAACTGAAGACAGAGCTGTGATGAAACTATATGATACTCTAAGAAACTTTGATTTGACTCAATATGTTGCTCTATCTAACCAATTTTCTATTATTTATAAAGGCATAATTTCCATTGACTCAGATTGCCAAAGCGATATATATAAAAAAAAAAACATCTTTAAGGATGGCGCTACTGTAATCTTTAACCTGATGTACACCTATACCTCCACTTTGCCCTGTTACTCAGGAAATGAGCTGGTATATACATGTCAACAGACAAACAAACCCTCATATGAGTGTAGATTCAATAAAAAACCCAGAGGTTCAGAGTGGCAGCCAGTTCATCCATATCAAATCCAGTAGCAAAGTTTTTCAACTGATTTCAATAAAATTTCACCAAATAGAAAACAAAAATCTCACACTAAGCTCCTCCTCCTCTTCTCGCAGATGTCCTCAGACCCATAAAACAGCAATGATCAAACTGCTGTTAAAAACAAACTTGGACAGCTGCTACTGCAAAACTACAGGCCCATCTCAAACCTCCCCTCCATCAGTGAGATTATCCAAAAAAGCTGTTTCACCAGTTAAACACCAGTTTAACCGTAACAATGACCAGTCACTTTGATTCCTTTCAGTCAGGCTTGCCTGCTCACCACAGTAGGTGTTCAATGACATCTGTATAAATGCAGCCTTTGGAAGAACCACAGTGCTGGGATTATGGGACCTTAGTGCAACATTCAAGACCTTTAATCAGTCTGTTTTATAAGGGTGTCTGAAAAACTGGGTCAGTCTTTCTGGTACAGGACTCGGCTTGGTTAAATCCTGAAGGAAGGGGACATTTGTGTAAATACAAACTATGGCTCCAACTAATGATTATTTTGCATGTCGATTTATCTGTCGATTAATCGATTTATAATCGGATAGCCAAAGGGTCCTTAAAGAGGACTTTTTACAAAATTAAACCAGACGAAACTGAAACTTCCCACTTGAGGAGTTCTGCACTGATTGCTTGTATTTGCACTGATTGCTTGTACTGTGTTTTTTCTTTTTCGAGTAATTTCGTTGCACCCCTGTGGAGCAATGACAATAAAGAATTCTGATTCTGAAAGAGCATATTGAGAGACCAACTTTAATGCAAAATGTGTATTTATTTATTCACAATTTTGGCATAATTATTGCTCTAAGTGGGTTACTCTGTCAACTAAAGGCATGTTTTAAAATATAAACTCCAGTTAACGATTAATCAATTACTAATCCGATTGTTTCAGCGCTAGTACAAACATCACATGTGGCGTTCCCCAAGGGTCAATCTTAAGGCCAATTTATGCTTCTGATGCATAGCCTCTGCAACCATCAAATCTGTCTCTGTGCACGACCACGTCCCCCGTGCAGAGGCTCTGCAACTGTCGTCGCAACCGAGGCTCTGACTACACGTCGGACAATTTTTAAAAACTGAGGAACAATGGCGTCTATGACTAAAGGTTAATTGAGGAAGTTCGGAGGTACAACCAATTGTAGGATGCTTCAGACAAATTAATATAAAAATGATCTCAGAATTCCGACTTTGATCTTAGAATTCCAACTTTTTTCCCAAATTAAACTGAAATAACATGTAAAAATCACTTAACTTTTTTTATTTTTTCAGTGGCCCTGATCCTCTTCTGCGGCATTTTTAAAAACCGAGGAACAATGGACAACTACGACGAAAGGTTAATTGAGGAAGTTCGAAGGTACAACCACTTGTAGGGTGCTTCAGACAAATTAATATAAAAATGATCTCAGAATTCCGACTTTGATCTTAGAATTCCAACTTTTTTCCCATATTAAACTGAAATAACATTTAAAAATCACTTAACTTTTTTTATTTTTTCAGTGGCCCTAATCCTCCTCTGCGGCATTTTTAAAAACCGAGGAACAATGGACAACTACCAAGAAAGGTTAATCGAGGAGGTTTGGAGGTACAACCACTTGTATGATGCCTCAAACAAAATATATAAATAAATATATCCTCTTCGATGTCTAGCAACTCTAGATCCATTCCAGTCACTGTTATATCTTGCAGATGCGCCATTGTTTTTTAGGAAGACAAACACTCCTATCCGTGCTGCCGAAGTTCTCGTGACCATCCGCCGAAGTTCTCGTGAGTTCTCGAATTGGCTCCCCCTTGTGCTTTGGTGGGAAACTGCTGTGCGTCCCTAGAAATTCCAGGCCGACGGAGCAGAAGCATACTAGCAAAACTGGTCCTTGACCAGACCCAAGCAACATTTGACGTGTTGTTGCAGTAGTATAATCTGCCCTTTAGGGTGCCCCCTATTTAATAATTACCAACTTCCCCTAGCTTAAACACTATTAAAAAACATCATACGTCACCATTACAATGCAGATGACACACAGCTAGACATGAGGATGCCACCAGGTGACATTGAACACATTCAAGCGCTAGTTATAAGCATAGAGGAAAGAATGCATTGACGGGACAGATTTTCCTTCAGCTGAATTAAAGCAAAACGTAAATAATTTTTGGACCAAAGGAAGAGTGTTTAAAAGTTAGCACAAACTTCAGTTCATACAGCTAGAAACCATCAATCAGGCTTCAACTTTCAAAGGCTTAAAAAGACAGTAAAAAAGCCAGCCTTTGTTTCTGGCTGCATCCTGAACATATTTAGGATTAAAGGACTAATGTCTCAAAAGGACCTTGAAGAACTAATTCATGTGTTCAACTTTAGTAGCACTGCAATGTTTTCTTCACAGTTCTGCCTAAAAAGTTGATCAAACAGCTGCCAATGATCCACAATGAAGCTACCTGTGTCCTCACTAAAAATAAAAATGAAGAGCGCTGCGTCACCTTAGTTCTGAAGTCCTTACACTGGCTCCCTGCATCCCAGTGAATACATTTCCAAATACTTCTGTTAGTCTATAAATCACTGAATAGCTTAGCACCAAAATACATTACAGACTGGTCAGTGTATCAGCCTCCAAGACCTTTTAGGTCTTCTAGCCTAAATCTACTTTGTAAAACCAGAGCCAAACATTAAGTAACAGGGTTTAGTAAATATATACTTGAGTCATTTGGAATAAATTCGCAGAAAACCATAAAACCAATAAAGCTGTGCACCGTAAATTACTTGCTGCTGACATGTGCTAAATAAATAAACTTTTATCGTCTTAATCAGTAACAGACAAAATATTCAGCCAAGTCAGAAACATCAGTTTAAACCACATCATGGATTTCAAAAACTGCATTTTCACCAAGTAAGGCATCCATTTTTTTCTTCTGCTTTTTAAAGCAAAAAGCAGAGCAAGTTGAGTTAACTTGAGTTAGTTTCTTATTTACTCAGTGATATTGTTATATTTATCCAGCCTGATGGGGGCGGCTCAAACTCCTCTATTACACAGGAGACTAGAAAAAAAACAAAAACAAACTCTTTGACATCGATTTCCTCGACAAAATCAAGAGTGTTCCCATGAGAACAAAAGCAGATGAAAAAGGGGGGATGTCTGCATCTCCCAGATAAGAAACTAAATCGATAAGGTGATTTCCACTGTAAGCAGTCTGATTATTTTAATATTGTGGTTTATTTATCAGCCTGTCAGCGATATAATAAAAAACACACCACGGAATGGCAGCTTAGGTTCAATCATGAAAACCTTTTCTTCTTCCAAGCGACAGATCATTAGTGTGAGTGGGGACATTTTTAACCGCCACAGCAATAAATAGCCAGAGATAAGGGCCCCGACCTGAACTCTGTCAGCAGCAGGTTGCCTGATCGGTAAAAAGATTACTGGGAGCAAAAACAAAGATTGAATCTTTGCACAAAAACACAGAAGAGTTATTTAATTCATTATGTTTTCAAACTAACGTATAGAAGGCAAAAATGAAATGCCTAATATTGATATCTAATTCAGGTCACATTAGCAAACAGTAACAGTCTTATTTTTTCTAATTTGACAGTGCAAACATGTGACATGCTTTAACAAAACAGGAAGGGGTTTACGTCCAATCACCTAAAAAAAGAGAGAATTTTTTTTTTTTACTTTTTATCCAAATAAATTAGTTAAATGTGAATTTTCTCCAAGAAATCATGACCAAACAATTAATTTTCTATTTCTGATACCGCTATTGCAGCTTTGAGCATTGACCTACAGATATTAAGACCAGAAACAACATCAGCATGAACCATTTTACTATTCATGACTTATTTTTAGGACTGCAACTAACAAATGTTTTGCAAAGACGATAATCTGTGGATTATTTTTTAGATGAATAATTGTGTGGCCAAAAGTTCCTTAAAGACAATTATGTTTATGAAATTAAACCAAGTGAAAGTAAAACTTTTGCACTTGAGGAGTTCTGGATAGAGCAGATTAACAGATGAAAACTTTTTTTTAATCTTTTTTTTTTTATCTTAAATGCTAAATTATATATATTTTACAATTTTGGTATAATTGTTGTTGCTCTAAGTAGCTGAATTTGTCAGCTAAAGGCATGTTGTACAGTCTCTATACTCCAGTTAATAATTAATCTATTACCAAATTAGTTGAGGATTATTTCAATAATTGATTAATCCAATTGTTTCAGCTCTACTTATTTTGTAGATGTAGACTGATATATTCTGATATTTGATTTTTGGCTGATATTGGATTGATTTCCCACATCAGTATCAGATGTCCCTTACTAAAATAAAGTGTAATTTCCCTAAATTTAAAATTCTAGCAGATCTACTAAACATTAATTCTGGGGTCTTCATTAAAAAACAAGAGCTGTCTTCTGTAATAATCTTAAACCACAGAGAGATTTTTCCTTTTGATTTAGGAAATTCTTTAATTTCTCGTTTTTTTAATTGCATAACAGTAAAGAGGTTCAGAAACCGAAAGGTTCTCCGCTTAATTAAAGGTTTTATTATTTAAGAATTTGACTTCTGCCTTGATCGTCCACTTAGAGACAACGTGATGATCAGGAGTCTTGGACACATCAATCACCTGAAATAAATCAGGTTGCACAAACAGCTGATCTTGGTTTTGATTGCAAACAATAAAATTAAGCCCTGCTCTGAGAACTACATGCATTCATCACACAAAAAAAAAAAAAATGATAAGATTAAGTATTGGTGACACTTGTGTAAATCATATTCTAATGCGGAAGTTCTGAGGGAGAAGTTACCATCAGTTTATTCTGACAATTGGTGTCGTCTTATCTTTTGCCTCGAGGTGACATATAAATCAGCCCTGATGTTTTAGAGCCAGTTAATTCATGACCAATTAATCAGCTGCTTCAGCAAACATGTCAAGCATAAGTTATACCCTTAAATAAAAACCATGAAACCTCTTTGGCTGTGTTGTTATAAAACTACCTTATTCTGCCAAATTCATTCTATTTACACCAGTTTTACTTTCCTGAAAGATGAACCTTTTATTCACTTCATGTAGTAATAAGTTAAAATAACTAGTTATTCATTATTCTATTTGGAAACATAATTTTAACCAATCAATCAAAGCTAAAGTTTTGATTTTTAAGTTAAATCATTCTTGTCATTGTTGCTCGTTGCTGTAGTGACCCTTAAACAGTTATTTAAAACTGTTTATCAAATACTGTTGTTCATTTAAAAAGACCCCACTTCATTTTAAACTCATACCGCTATACAGCACTGAACAGGTTTCTGTGTCCATTTCTTCTCAGTTTTTAATTTTAGGGTTTTTATACACCATGATCTGAGAACTCAGTGTCTGTGAAATTAGAGTTAATCTCAAATAGAGATGGATTAAAATAGCAGGGATTTGTCCATAGCTGTTTATTGGTTATTTATTCTCCAGGTGCAAAGTATTTATATTTTAAAACACTTTACAGTACAGTATTTCATTTATTTTTTAACTCTTCACTATAATGTTATTCTTATACATTTTTCTAAGGTTCACATTTGTGTGACCACTTTTTTCTATAATTTCCTCATTGCGGGACAATAAAGGAATTTTCTATTGTATTTAGATTACTTTTTTTTATTAATTATATTTTCTACTAAACTGATTGCAGTTTTTGACTTCTTGTTTAAAAAACGTTTTTAAAATACTTTCTTAAAGCAAATAAAGTAGCATTCTCCTCTTGCAAAGCTTTTTTTTTTTGAGTAATCTTTTTTTTTTTTTGCTAAAGTCTTGAATTGTAGCCAAATGATCTAAGCCCATATTTGAATAAACATGTATGGA